CTTTGTTTTTAGGAGCATGTATGCAGACATAGGTGCCTGGAGAGGTCTGGCTGCCCCCACCTTGCCACATAACAAGGGTCAGGAGTGGGCCTCCCACAGGCAACCCTTCAGCACTGCATTTTTCTGCTTGTGGCAGAACTGTTTTTCTTCTTTCAGGAAAATTAGTAGGGAGAACAAAACCGGAAGCTTGCTTTGAGGGTTTCGAAGGTTTTTTGACTTGGCTGGCAACTAGAGCCGTATGAATAAAAAGGGAGTACAATTATTCTCTGGAGAACGTAAGGTGGCCTGCCGTTCTTTTTACATCAACACCAGCTTCTATACTTATTTTACTCAAAATGAATGACCAAATTTCCATTCTCTTCAATACTGTTACTTGGAAGTGTTAGGTCTGGCCTTTGGCCTGAATCTCTGTGTGTACTTACGTATGTGTGAGATATTATTTACCCGCAGTGTGGGCGTCTAAAAAGCATACGCAGGAACGTCATACTAGGGAAACTGTCAGTAAACCAGAGCAAAATCACTTTTAGAAGAGGCATCGTATCATCTGTTGGAAAAGGGCAACAACAGCACAGGCATAGTTTTCAAAAGTTGATTTTGCCTTTGTTAAGAAAAAATGCTTTTGCTTTATTAATTTTTTTTCCTTTCCCTTCCCTCCCATAATTCTGATACACTCGATGATGCTTCCAGGAGCTGCAAGCTCCACTAGTGAAGACAGCAGTGACCTGTCAGTAAAGACGGAAGTAACAGGGGTTGCTTCATGCCATAGGTTACCGAGGAAAGTCACAACATATCTTTAAGCTTTGCTGCATAGAAGAGAAGGACTATACTGATCTCCACGATCCCAGGACCAGCAGTGATGGCTTTATACTTCTGCAGGAGCAATAGTGGCAAGACATTAGCAAAAAAAGAATAAAGCAAGACAGATGAAGAGTTAAAACAGATCTCCAAGCCAGGGCACAGAATCTTAACGGCTGGAGGTGTTTAAAAACAAGTCAAGACATTCTCTTTTCCCAAGGCACGTAGATCATGTTCGCTTCGTGTAACAGCTGTGTGCTGTTACCGTAGTACAGAATAAGGACAGAGTACTCCAACAGCTTTGCTACTTTGTTTGGCTTTTGTTTTTAAGATTAATAAACAACACGTCAGACAGCAGTAGATAAATAACTAACCTGCATTACTTGTACAAAAAGTTATATAAATACAAGTTTGCTGTTTTGTTTTCTTTTTAGAGAAGGAAAGCATCCTGTCATAAAATATCCAGCAATCCTTATCTTAACTGAGACGCTGCCAAGTCATAATTCAGAGGACAGACATATGAAATTAAACCCACGCTGTGCAGAGACAACACAATGGACCCTCCAGATCCGATCCTTTGTGTTTATCCCATGCACAGTTACACAGCGACTATTCGACAGGTGATCATCTGACTCTGTTTTGCTATTAAACAAATGAAAATACTTCCCCGTACTGCTTTCTGTTAACTACTGTACTAGAAATAGCCACCACATCGTCATCATCATCATAATTATTATTATTGTTGTTGTTAAGGAATTGTCCTTCATTCCATGCATAATTATAATTCCACAAGTTAAAACCGTCATCCATCCCTCATGTCATAGTTTATAAAGCACTCTGTGCACAGTGAAGCAGATCCCAAATTAAATGCAAATGCTATTAAAAATAAGAGAAATACACTATTACAGGTGATTTTAGAGGAACAAAATTCTGGGGAGATTTAAAAAAGCCCCCAAATAGTTTTATCTGGACAAAATAATGTACAATTATTAATATTGCACTTTTTGTACAAGAAATCCTAATAAATATACAGAAAAGATATACATTTACATACATAGAAAGACATTCTTCTTTTTTTAAATAAAAAGTTACACTGATGTTTAGCAACAGTATCTCTTGAAGACCCAT